GAGCCAATTTACTCAGCAGTGTACCATGACAACTTACAGGCATCTACATGCCTCCGCAAAAGAAATTTAACACCAAACTATCATAGGTTTTCATTCGACATTTTTAAAGTTTATAAGTGAATAAAGGATAAATGTACATAAATGAATTTTTACTTGAATGTTTCTTTAGCTTTCATGCTCAGAAGCAATCTATACACTTTGACAATTATTTGACCTAATTATGCCATGCTAGGCACTGGACATCTTCGCTAGCCAAGGGCTTCTGATACGCTACTCTCCTCATAAGCCCTTGGCATACGGTGTTAAAAAAAGTTGGGATTTTTTTCTCAAGTTGTGATTGGAGTTGATCGACATCGTTCGACCAATCAGCAGTTGTTTTTTGTAAATGACGATATTTGCGTTCGGGATATATCTTGACTCTTTAATATCGGTAATGTAAAACGCAAGTAAACAATGATCCGTAAGATAACATGCCATTCTATGAATAGCAATATGGTGTCATCCAATTTCTTCAGCAACGTGGAAAATATGTAATTAAGAATCCATACTGAAGATGTAGATTTGCATTTTTACATGTTTGAATAACAAATTAACATAACTCAATACCTTCTTGTTAATTATTCTTTAAAAACGTTTTTTTTTAAATACGCTTTTTATTTCTGTCGATGACGCAATCTGTGCATACCAGTAACCTGGTAAGAATCATGATCACGTGACAAAAACAATCCCGTCTTTTGTCAGCACCGTATGCCAAGGTTTATGAGGAGAGTAGCGTATCAGAAACCCTTGGCTAGTGAAGATGGGCACTGGATGAAGGGGTTCATTGCTAACTAGAGAGGTAAAGGTTAATTATTACCAACTGCATAACATCCCTGTGTCTCAAGGGTGTTTATGTATACCTTTAAGAAATAAGGTATCATTTTTAAACATCTATCAGGATATAAATACAGGTTGGTCACGAGATCAAATTCCATAAGGCCCAAAGGGCTTATGGTAAATTTGATCTCATAACAACCCGTATTTATATCCTGATAGATGTTTAAAAATGATACCTTATTACTTATATTTACATTTGTGACTTATTTATATTTTATGTTTGCCTGATTATGATTTTTAACGTGTGAAGTGTTTTATTTTTCAAACTCAGCGGCACACGTTTAATCCATTGTTTGCACATGGACCCTTTACAATGACGTCACTGAGAAATTACGTCGAACGTTTATGACTTGAGGAACCCATGTTTATATAAGGAATGAATCTAATAGCTACCCAATTTATACGGTATAAATTGGTTTGGGGCAGTTTACGCTTTATAAACTGCAAAGCGGAAGAAATAAACAAAGCTGTTTATGATAAAGCGTAAACTGTTCCAACCCATTTTATACCGTATAAATTGGGTAGCTATTAATTTCATTCCATATAATTTAATTTTTATTCATTTAGTGTAAGAAAAAAGATGATTGCCCTTAAAAATGACTTCAAATTGTACAAAATTAAATTTAATTTAAATGTAATGTCAGTAGGGTTGGATACCGTTAAGGATGAAACGGTACGATACCATACCGGTATTTTTGAAACGATATGGTATTTTTAATGATACGGTACTATACCTTGATGAATGAGAATATTTAAGGGTTCATTTCATAACAAATATGCCTTCACCAGTCATCAACCTTTCAATGTTATAACCTAAAATGAGCTTATAAAATATGTTTATATTTCAACCTTTTAATAAATGACCAACAAAACAAATAAATTGAATCTCAAACAAATTAACTTGAATAGATACATAATCACAACTTCCGTCTTTGCTAGGACCCATTTGGTCGCACTAAAAAACGAAACATTAGAAGATGGATAGAAATGCACATCACATTTTTGCGACATTTTGCCTTTTTAATTTACATTTATTATCAGTTTTTATTGATTAAATTAAAACTTGATTAATCTTAATGTATTTAAATTTTTTTTTAATAAAAGAGATATTCGTACTGATTTACCTCGAATATCGGCAGTCGAAAGCAAGTGTCGTATAGTCATACTAAGCATCCATTTCGTTAATTAGCCTACCCTTTCAATGTGCGGAGAATTCTATTTTAGTTTTAAATCATTTTGAATGTATTAAAATGTTTTTAAGATTAAGAAATAGTACCGTTATTAGAACCGGTATTAAATGAAACGGTATTTTACCGGTATTTTTGAAGTAACTATTCGGTACGGTATTGGTACCGAGTACCGGTATCCAACCCTAAATGTCAGGCGGATCGATACGTTTTTGACACAACATGCACAAGTCATTGTGACGTAGACAACTCAATTTATACGATATAAAGTAAATTTTTTGTCCAATCAAATGGCTCGTTACAACCGGAATTAAATTACACGGATATAGATACACATTGTTTTCAATAGTGTTATATAAAGAAAAGCATTTGCAAATGTAAATATTTGAAGATAAAGTCATATGTCATAATGTGAACAAAGTACTTGTCTTTAGCAATGATTTAGTGCGTTTTGACTTTTTGTAAACTGGATAAAAAATTTGAAGAATTACTGCAATAATGATATTTTTCTCTGATTTAGATTTTAACTCCCAGGAGAATATGCTGTACTTTGATTTCCTATGTATTTTACCCTCAATATCTCGTACCCTTGGATATCTTGAAGTTTTTCCTTGGTCTGATTTGAGTTCGAGATAATGAGATTTGACTGTACTGGTATATTGTTATGGAATAATTTGTCCTGTAAGGGAATGATACATTTTGTGGTATTGTCCTGTAAGGGGATGATACATTTCGTGGTACTTGTCCTATAAAGAGATGATATACTTTGTGGTACTTGTCCTGTAAGGAAATGATACATTTTGTGGTACTTGTCCTGTAAGGGGATGATACATTTTGTGGTACTTGTCCTGTAAGGAGATGGTTCTTATTGGTTTACTTGTCCTAAAAGTAGATGGGTCTTTTTTGTGGTACATATTGTGTAAGGGTACAGTAATTATGTGGTACTTGTTCTGTAAGTAGATGAAACTTATCATAGTTCTTGTCCTATAAGAAAATGATAATTTTGTGATAATTCTCTGGTAAGTGAATGGTACATTTTGTGGTACTTGTTCTTTATTGCATATTTTGGTGATATTTTTTTTGTAGTTGTGTTAGACTGGGATAGTCCATCTGGTAATGTTCACCCTTTAAGAAAATTTATGCTCATCTAAATGGTATTGCTTGTATAGTAAGGGGTAATTCACTTAGGCTACTTGGTTTGTGAATAGAGAGAGATTCCACTCTGTGATTTTTGTTCTGTTGTTCATTTTGAAGTGAATAATGAACTTGTCTTATTAGGGAATTATCAGTAATATACTACATGTAGATACTTGATGTTGCTTATCCCATGAAGAGATAATCCACTTTTCAATTCCACTCTTTTCTGTATAGTAAAAAATGATCTACTTGTGATGCTTGTCTGCAAGGGGATGGTCCATTTGCTCCACAGGGCAATTCCTAGTTTGTAAGGAGATTCTCCACATTAAAATGCTTGTCTTGGAAGAAGTGATCCACATTGTGGAATTATTTCATTTTCTTTAAAATTCTTGTGTTTCTCAAGCCCAAAAGTTCTGGTTCTCCCATTGAAAATTTTACTTGGGATTATTTTACGTATGGACAAAATTCCCACTGTCATTTATTTAGAGATGCTCTTGTATGATGTTAAAAGAGCAATGAAGATGTTGAGTTTAGTGATGTCTGACTTGAGGAACTGTGTACCAGAGCCAGTGCATCTTAGTCAAGGGTTAATTAAAAGCCAAATGATAGTTGATGAAATGGTAGTTAAGTGTATCACATCACGACATGATGGAATATATATTGTAAGATACAGGCATACACAGGTTAAGTTTACAGGAAATCGTATCCAAAAAAGAAAAAACCAAATGATGTAGAAAGGAGCATTAGCTGTCAGGTCTAATGACAAAGAGGCCTAAATCAGTTGTATAGCTGTCAAAGAATGTCATTAGCCTTAACCAGTATCCATTATTAGAGTGATCCTTTGGAAAGAGTGTCCTAGCTTGATTGGCTGTGCAGAAATTATCTTAAATAAGGGATAATTATACAATGAGGTCAATGGTTCATAAAGTTCAGTAAAATTTGATGAAGCTAGAGTGAGCCAGGGATCACCAAATTATAAAGTTTACACCCCTTTCTTTTTTAAATGGCCTCCTATACCTTTATATCAGAATGATATGGGAATTTAATACAAAGCTGTCATTTACTTAGAGAATGAGCTCTTGCAAATGGAGGGCAGTAAGAAACCTGCCTTGTGAGAACTGAAAAACAAAGATCAATTGAAAGTCATGGCACTAAGTACAGTTTCCCTTTATATAAAGGTTACATATGTAGCTTCAGTATTCTGTATAGCTTCCTTTTTGAGTTGGGAGTTTCTCAGGACTGTGTCACATTGTGGTCTAAAGGCATCTCATCCTGTTACTCATCTTAGTGATCAGAAAATAACCTGCAAAATGTACAGGTGCTTGCAGTGTAATACTATAGATGAAACATTTTAATATTGAAAGTAAAAGGCTTATATCAAAACAAAATAACAAACTATTTTATAATTATAATGGTGGATTCTTTCACTTTTTGAAGATAGACAAATATGCCTTGGATGTAAATATGATGATGTCATCTGTTGGGTAAATAGAAAGCTATTCATTATTATATATATATTAAATTTATGTACAAGTATGATTTGGATAAAGAGATAAAAGTAAGGGGCTCAAAGAGAGCGCCTGTGTCTGACAAAGAAATTGTTACAACTGCCATTTCAGAATCAACGCCTTGAAACAGAATCAGAAAGTTACTACATAGATGTCTAGCTCAATTGATGAGAAAATCAATACCAAATGCATTCCAATTGATTTTTAAGTCAGTTCTCAGTAAGCAGTAGTTTATCAATTCTGTTTCCTAGGTTTGATTTCTCTCAGTTGTGATATCCTGATGTCTTTTCCATAGGTCGGAATCTAAATAAGAGGTTATTTTATCTTACACTTTGTGAAGATGTTCTTTTATTGTTGAATACAATATAATCATAATGGGACTAATCAGTGTACATATGACCATTGTTGTAATGGGGGAACTCTATTTGCAGGTATTGATCCATTGCTGAATTGTGGTCGCCATATTGTTTCAAAGACTCCACAGACACTGTGAGTATGATTCAGTAAACAGATCAATTTTTGGTTAAGTTCAAGAAGAAATGAGTAATACCTGCTTTAGTAATTCCGAGATTTTTTAAATAAGTACATTTTGAAAGAGTCTACAGCATTGTAAAATGCCTTACTGTAAAAAAAAACAATCTTCATTCCTTATAATTACAAATGTCATATCTGTTCAGAATTTTTTTTAATTGGAGAAGTGTTATATTCATGAAGGATTGGTCCTCATATTTGTCCCAAATTGGATAATGTCTGTATAAAGAGTGAAAAAAGTACATTAACCAATGCATATCACGCAAAGAAGAAACTGCAAGTTCTAGAGATCTTGTGACCCCCTCCCCCCCCCCCCCCCAAAAAAAATGAGAAAGAGAGAAAGCCTGAGTATGATACTTATTGGACTATTGTATTCTGAGATAGAAAAAAATTTAAAAGCATGCAAAGTTTCAACATTATAAGATATATATACATGCATGTTCACCATCTTCTTAGATTTAAGAAAGGAGATGGGCGAACATAGCGTGCAGAAAGCCTATAGCTTAAGATATATAAAAATCATGTTCAGTTTGTGAATTCAGTATTTAGAGTGAAGTTCTCACTATTGAAATTTATGAAATTATGATAAACAAAACTTTTCTGAGGAAAATTTTCTAGGCAAAATTTATTCTCTTATTGAAAAAATAAAGTGGTATTCGTGGGGTTCGAACCCTAGCAATAAAAATCCTGAGTTTCATTTTCTTTTGAGACTAGAACGCTAACCACTAGACTACTCAAGTTCTGATGAATAGCGACATTTAAATCATGTTTGTGATATGACCCTTGACCTAATGGACTTCAAGTATTTTTCAAAATGGTGCGAATGATATGTCATAAAAGTATATTTTTAAGATATAGTGGGTCTTTGCTCCATATTTTTGGAAACCAAAAAATGTATATTTTTATGCAAACTTCGAGGATTAACTTTAAAAAAAAATGGAGCGAAGACCCACTCATATCGAAAAATAGTGTTATAGTATGAGAAAATGACTCTTTTTGCCCTCTTTAGTGTGTGTACAATATTCTTTAAGCAAATAATTTCAATCTTTGTGAGATTTTTGCAAATTGTAGAGATTTTACATAAAGTATATTTTAATGTTAGATGAAATATCAAGGAAAATTTTGATATAATTGAAATTTAATTTTTCACCTTCATGTTTGCCACACTATAGGCTTTTCGCTCGTCATGTTCACCCATCTCCTTTAGCACAATATACACATGTCATACTACATAGTTCTGAGTCAAGCCAAGCACTAGCTGACATGTTTTGATAACTAATTATACAGTACTTTTGTAGGAGGGCAGCAGTACCACCACCAAAGAGGGCAGCCAGTACCACCACCAAAGCATACCACAGAACAGGAAATCATCCATGTTTGGTGGGTGTTGAAAGTAAGTTTACAAAAACCACAAAAAGGCTGTGTATTTTTTTTCTATATTTAATTTATGTTATGCTTCCTTTGTTTTGCCCTTCCTTCCTTCTGCAGACAGACAGATCAATCTCTCTAGCCTGCTGGTAAATAGGTCTTAGTTGTATAAGTGATGAGTTCATCTGCAGCAATGGCCAGATCTCATCAGCTGTGTCAATTGGATTTAGATCCACAACTCTGACCTGCTGTAGTCTTTTTTTTTCATTACAAACAGTGACTTAATTCATGTTTGATTTTAGATTCTTGTCAAACCATGAATATCAATTGTGAGTGATAAGTTTAAATATATTATTCAACGTTATCAAAATAGTAAGATCGAGTCAGTCAGTAAAATTAAAAATTTATAAAGAATTTAAGAGTTAAATGAACTGGTCCTTGTCCCTAATCTACGATGGCCGACAGCGGCCGCCACTTTTGATTCTGAATATTGTCATTTTGTACAGCTTTTTTGTCAATTTTCGTTGACAAATTACAACTAAACTGGTAATGCTATATGTCCATATACAGTTTTTACACTGACAATTTACACTGTAGAAAATCATTAAAATTCTTTCTTGTGATATGAAATGAAGATACATAAAACAGGTTACTTGAAGGTGATAAGCTTAAGGTTCTAGCAGAACAGCAAGGTCGGGGTGATTACAAATTAGTATTGTCTTCTAGATATACTTTCTCGACAGATTGTAGTAATTAATTCATAAAATTCCATGTTGGTGTACCTGCTGGTCACATCATAGGTAACCAGGATGAAATTTTCCAGGTCTATCAGAAATTTGATTTTGTTCATAATCGGACGTGTCTTTGATGTATGAATTTTGTTTTTTAAACAATGCGCACGAGGAAATGATCACATTAGTTACATGTACCTATATCTTCATTCCCGTGCCACATTGAAAAATAATTGGACGACCATGTGGAAGTCTTGAGAGGTTGCGTTGGCCTTTAAAAGTGTTTCAAGCATTTAGTTATTAATTTTATGTATTTAGAGAGCAAATACAGACTCCCTCATTTAAGGTTGTCATTTTATTCTTGCTTAAAAACGGATATATTTCCGTATCTAAATTTTTGTTTTTGATACATTCCATAAACTTTTGATTGGATGCTCACATGTAGAGCTACTAAATCCTGTTTTTCTACCTCTACATAATAGGTAGAATCGAGTTGTCTCATACAATCTGAGGATCGAGATATATCCATTATATTCATGTATATCCATTACAACAAACGTATTACTTTTATTCGCCTGTTTAATTACAATCCCAAGAATATCGTTTTAATGATACAACAAGGTGACAGAATGACGATTTACGTCTAATCTAGGATTAACTGGGTTACGATATCTCAGACTAATTGAGGGTGAAAATCATTAAAATGCTCCTTATCTCTTTCAAGCCACCTGTTTTATGTATCTTAATTTCATATCACACGAAAGAATTTTAATGTTTTCGCTGGTGTAAATTGTCAGTGTAAAAAGTGTACATGTACATATAGCATATAGCATTACCAGTTTAGTTGTAATATGTCAACGAAAATTGACAAAAACGCTGTACAAAATGACAATATTCTTAATCAGAAAGTGGCGGCCGCTGTCGGCCATCGTACTAATCACATTGAAACAAGGAGACCTTTTAGTGTTTGTTTAGTGAAGGTACAATTAGGTATGTGCTTACAGTTAAAGTAATTAAAGTATATATGTCTTGCTTAACTCGGGATTTTTTTAAAGGGGGGGGGGGGGGGGGTCAGGTATAAGTTTGAGTCACTAATTCCTATCAGAGAAATGGAGAAGAATTATTTCAATGAGGTTGTATGGAAGAAAGTTTTCTTTAATGTTCATCAAATCAAATAATCTGAAGGTTAGCAGCACAAGGTTAACAGAACCTATGGATTTTGAAATACCTGTACATTGTAATTTACATGGCCCAAAGAAAGAGCAGTGAGGTATCTAGATATGCTTTCTGGAATTGCTTCCTATTTTCAAGTCCTCATTTTTTCTAGTACTTGAGATATTCTGTTCACTTCAGATTGTTTGTCCTGCATATTTATTTTCTTTACTCTTACTCCAAACATTCCTCACACTTCAATTAAGGACATACACAACATAGTTTGAACTTTATTGTCTTTTTCCCTGGAGTTGAAGAGTTCCAATACTTAAAGGAACTGTGTGCTATATTGTAATGTCTATTTATGCTATTGTACACTTCTTCTAAAACAAGTTTGAATAAACAAAACATCTAGAATATATGTTCAGTAATTTTTAGCTCACCTCGACGAAGTCGAGATGAGCTTATGCTATACCCCCGGCGTCGGCGTCGGTGTCGGCGTCGGCGTTAGCGTCGGCGTCCCAGGTTAAAGTTTTAGGAGCAAGTCCCATTCCCAAGTAACTATAAGCCCTACCTGGACCAAACTTGCATGGATGATGCATCTAGGGATGGACACTACCAAACTTGCTTCGGATGCTGGATCTGACCTAGATTTTCCAGATGAGTGACCAGGTTAAAGTTTTAGGAGCAGGTCCATTCCTAAGTAACTATAAGCCCTACCTGGATTAAAATTGCATGGATGATGCATCTAGGGATGGACACTACCGCACTTGCTTCGGATGCTGGATCTGACCTAGATTTTCCAGATGAGTGACCAGGTTAAAGTTTTAGGAGCAGGTCCATTCCCAAGTAACTATAAGCCCTACCTGGACCAAACTTGCATGGATGATGCATGTAGGGATGGACACTACTACACTTGCTTGGATGCTGGATCTGACCTAGATTTTCCAGATGAGTGACCAGGTTAAAGTTTTAGGAGCAGGTCCATTCCCAAGTAACTATAAGCCCTACCTGGACCAAACTTGCATGGATGATGCATCTAGGGATGGACACTATCGAACTTGCTTCGGATGCTGGATCTGACCTAGATTTTCCAGATGAGTGACCAAGTTAAAGTTTTAGGAGCAGGTCCATTCCTAAGTAACTATAAGCCCTACCTGGACCAAACTTGCATGGATGATGCATCTAGGGATGGACACTACCACACTTGCTTCGGATGCTGGATCTGACCTAGATTTTCCGGATGAGTGACCAGGTTAAAGTTTTAGGAGCAGGTCCATTCCCAAGTAACTATAAGCCCTACCTGGATTAAAATTGCATGGATGATGCATCTAGGGATGGACACTACTACACTTGCTTGGATGCTGGATCTGACCTAGATTTTCCAGATGAGTGACCAGGTTAAAGTTTTAGGAGCAGGTCCATTCCCAAGTAACTATAAGCCCTACCTGGACCAAACTTGCATGGATGATGCATCTAGGGATGGACATTACCACACTTGCTTCGGATGCTGGATCTGATCTAGATTTTCCAGATGAGTGACCAGGTTAAAGTTTTAGGAGCAGGTCCATTCCCAAGTAACTATAAGCCCTACCTGGACCAAACTTGCATGGATGATGCATCTAGGGATGGACATTACCACACTTACTTCGGATGCTGGATCTGACCTAGATTTTCCGGATGAGTGACCAGGTTAAAGTTTAAGGAGCAAGTCCATTCCCAAGTAACTATAAGCCCTACCTGGACCAAACTTGCATGGATGATGCATCTAGGGATGGACACTACCACACTTGCTTCGGATGCTGGATCTGATCTAGATTTTCCAGATGAGTGACCAGGTTAAAGTTTTAGGAGCAGGTCCATTCCCAAGTAACTATAAGCCCTACCCGGACCAAACTTGCATGGATGATGCATCCAGGGATGGACACTACCACACTCGCTTCGGATGCTGGATCTGACTTAGATTTTCCACATGTGAGACCAGGTTTAGATTTAGGAGTAGTCTCGTTTCCAAGTAACTATAAGCCCTACCTGGACCAAACTTTCATGGATGATGCATCTAGGGATGTACACTAACCAACCTGCTTCGGATGCTGGATCTGACCTAGATTTTCCACATGAGTGAATTTTAGCCATATTTTAACCAAATTAGCATGGATGATGTATCTAGGGATGGACACTTCCAGACTTGCCTTGGATTCTGAATCTGATGTACATTTTCCAGATGAGTGACCAGGGTAATTTTTTGGAGTAGCTATATAATATTATGGCCTGTTATGATTAAACTTGCATAGATGGTGCATCTAAGAATGAAAACTTCCAGACTTGCTTTGGATGTTGGAAGTGACCAAAATTTTCTTGATTACTAAACAGGTCAAAAGTTTTTTGAGCAGGTCTATAATTAAATCAAACTTGCATGGACATTGATCTTGGGATGTACCCTAACTAGAAAAAAAATATGATGTGAAATTTGCCTTACATGTAGATAACATTTGTCGAGGTGAGCTTCGTAATCTTTGATTACCTATGTTTGTATATTTTTCTTTGAATTATACAAGAATTTTCATCAATTGATATCTTTTCAAAATCCCTGGTAATGCATGCTGATTTTTTGTCTACGAACATCTGATGGCACTATAATCTTATAAAAGAATATTTTGAAAAATTATCAGTAGGTAAGGTACGTTGCGTATGTCCTTAAAGAGTGTTCCATTGTACATACACTGTAACGACTACAGTGTAAAGATCTAATTCACTAAAATAAGAGCACTTGGTAAGGTCTTATGAAACATGACATAAGTTCACCCTAAATAACATACACTTCTGAACCTGAAACAAAGAGTTGATTGATGTGTTTAACTGGACAAGCATGTATCATAGGAATAAAATTCAGCATGGATTAAAATCCTAGCATTAATAATTCACCGTACATGAGATGCTTATATGGTATACATTTATATTCTGTATACAGTTACTTTGTATAAGGATGTCACAATATTTTCAAGGAAGAAAGAGTTTTTAAGTCCAGCGTTGATCGAAGTTGCATCAATGATGCATCGGGGGATAGAGTCATTCATGCTCTAGATGCTGCAGGTGACCTACATTTTACAAATGAGTGATCAGAATAATTTTTTTTTGAGATGATTGATTCAGATATTCTCATGAGTCAGGTAAATATGCCTTGTACCATGACTTGAGCTGAGTCTGCTCTAGATGTTTAATCTTTCATTGGCTAAGTGATGTATGAAGTAGAACTTTAATTAAGTAGTTCTACCCTAGAATCAATCAGCATAGTGGTGGTGTCATTTCTAATAAGAGATTTTAATTTGTCTTGGTATATGATAATAAATCTAAGTTTTTATCATGCTGAATGAACTTAATGTCTTGTTGAAGTTTTTGCATTTTCATTTTCTGATCTTCCATGAAAACTACTGGTAAAAGTTTACTACAGCTATTCACCTATCTTCATCATCTATTACCTGTCTTTGTTGATTGCATTTCCCAGGAACTCCAAACTTTTCTTTGAACCAATATCAAGTTTTCATGTTTCTTAAAAATTTTCAATGCCCAAGTGCTAGCTACTTCCTTTACAAATGCAATTAACATTTACGTATGACATTTTATCAGTAATAACTATTGATTTTTGTTACCCTCAATGCAATATGATTATCACGTGTACTTTATGATTCAAATAAATATTTGTAATCAATTTTTGTTTAAATTTGCATGGTATTGAATTTTAAGGGTTGTGTTACAATATTTTAATAGAGGTGTAACATTTCTCTTCTGAGATGAACAATTCTGATTAGTTTATACCATATCAATATTTATTTACCCTATCATGTTGCTTTTTGTTTCTTACGTAGGTTGTGTTATGACAGGATATAATGGCCCAGTCTCCCAATGGTAAGTTAATCAATTAGTTGTACTTTAAAAAAAAATGTTCACTATTTAATGACTCAAAAGAAAGATTATAATTGATGAAGGAAATTCAAAAGAAAACATTATTATGATTCATGAGAAAATCTTGACGTTAAAGCGTGAACAGCATAGAATTAATCAGAATGGCCAATAGTACTCTATTGACACGTTGTGTAGGTAGTTTATTTAATGACATGAACTGAGTCATAGAGTTCTATTGGAATTCTGTGCCGCGTTCAATAAAATTAATCATCCATCTCAGGATTATTGGAGAACTTGAGGCAAAAGAAAGACAACTCTAATTTGAGATGTTTTTACTATTTATTGCAGGGGTTTGTTGGGAGAGTTATTCCTTTTTGATTAAGTTAAAATATGAAAAAAATTCATTCACATGTTCTTTAAAAAAGCAATAAATAAAAAAAACAAAAAACCAAACAAACAAAAAAAAGCAATAAATAAAAAAAACAAAAAACCAAACAAACAACCAACCCCCCCCCCCCAAAAAAAAACAAAACAAAACAAAAGAGAAATTTATAATTACACCCACAGAATTTCCTTATTTTCTTTCCTTTTTCTTTTTTCTTTTTTTGGCTATCAAATTTTACTGCTTGTACTACCTGGAAAATATCTTGTTATTTCTTTTTTTCCCATCAAGGAAATAAATGTCCATCAGAAAATGAATTCTATCATTTGGAAAAACAAATCCAGATATACCGGTAAATACAGTTTCATTAGAATTCATATCTTTCAGAGTTAGCTTTAGAAGTAATGCATATGTGCTTGTTTTTATACATTTTAAGATGGCACCACAATAGACTGCATTGATACCATTGAAAAATTCCAATACTCTTAGTTTTTGTGTACTTTCATTATATATTGCTCATCAGAATATGATGTTAGTTTTTGTTATTACACATTGGTTATTTTTTAACACAAGAAATAAAATCAGTATGTTTATATAAAAATGCCAAATATGAATTTCCACTCATAATTTTTTATTTTTCTTTAATGGAAGAGGATTTGATTGTATGATTTTGTAATTGAACATGAAAGCAAATATGTTGATGGAATATTTCAGTTTTCTTCCAGGAATAGATGGTTTTCCATTAAGGTGATTTAAGCAAGAGTTATTTCCCATGGCTGCCATATTGTAGGTCAACATCCCCAGATCCCTTCATTACTCAACCAAGTGCAATTTGTTATACTGGGCACTGAGGTGAAGATAACACTGTATTTCTTATGAATAAATGTTTGTTAAAGTTTCTTTTAATTCATAATTTCAATATTGTAAATATTTTTTCCCATATATTTTTGGCATGCATCTTTAAAATTGATTGCTCAAAGAGGAAAATTCACTCCTTTGACCTACAAGATGGTGGCCAAGGGGAATAACTCCTAAGAATTACGTCATAGGAAATCATCTATTGTGATTTTTAAATTTTTTTTTATGCAACACAAGAAAAAAAATACAATATTGAGTATCCAGATAGGTTTCAGATATAAATAAAATTTATTCAGCAGAAGATACTGCTTCATATTAGTACAGTGTATAAGAAGATATATTTCTATTTTAACATCAAAAGTCACAAATCTCCTTAATTACTCCAGCAAGCATCTTATGAAAGTTTAATATGTTTAGAGTTATTTGGTATACTGGATGAGTGGAACTGAATACAATTTACTTTTGTATTGATTGTCTGATAGAATAATGTTCACATCAGATTAATTAAAAAAATCTCAAGAGTATTGTTTAGCTAAGGAAAAGACAGAAATATGAGACTAGTCATAGTTTCTCTTTTGATTTAATGTCATATATGGGTGTTGATAAAAAAAAAAAAAGTGACTGCTAATAGTTCTTCATTGAGTTTTCAATCTCCTAGGTAGAGTTGTTGTTCGTTCATCTCTCAGACATCTCTAATTTTCTGATCTTAGTTATATACAATCTCCTGAGCAGAGTTGTCCTTCGTTCCTCTCTCAGACATCTCTAATTCTCTGATCTTAGTTATATACAATCTCCTGAGCAGAGTTGTCCTTTGTTCCTCTCTCAGACAGTTCTAATTCTCAGATCTTAGTTATATACAATCTCCTGAGCAGAGTTGTCCTTTGTTCCTCTCTCAGACATCTCTAATTCTCTGATCTTAGTTATATACAATCTCCTGAGCAGAGTTGTCCTTCGTTCCTCTCTCAGACATCTCTAATTCTCTGATCTTAGTTATATACAATCTCCTGAGCAGAGTTTTCATGGGCTAACCTCAAGATATTTGACATGAAGTAAAAAAAAAAAGAAGATAATTCCCATTCAAAGTAAAGAAATAGTTCTAGATATACCGAGTCAATATCTACATTAAAAGACAAAAATGCTAATATCTAATTATAGTGACATGAAAACAAGCACTCTATATTGTGCTAGTCATTGTCATATTAGCAAACCAGTGACAGAGGTGAAAGTAATAGTTGATGGTAGAGTGAGCTATATTTTTGAATGTGGTTCTGAAATGCCAAGGAGAAACAGGAGTTATCTCTCCTTAACCTGTTACAGAGTATGAGGAAGAAAAACAATGTTAAAGTCCAGTATAGTAAAGCATGCCTATAGTGAACACGCTTATAATGAATTGACACATATTTAAAATTTAAAATATTGTAAACTTTATGGATATAATGAATTATGCTTATAACAAATCAAAATCACCTATTCCTGGCACTTCATTATAAGTGTGTTTTACTGTAGAAGTATTGCAGCAGTAGTGAACTTCCATTGAATTTCATTATTTAAAAAAAAATTTAAACTTATCCCTATTAAGTTCTAGTTTGATTTATATAAGTAGACTCCATCAAGCACTTCATTCTATTTACTGTAGACCACCAAATTTTTGCAACTCTTTAATTTCGCAAGATGGCCAATTTGTATTTATAAGCAATACATAATTTCATGAACTCTGGTTATTATTCTGTATAATCTTTTGTACTACAAATGTATGTGAGAATTAAATTTTTGCGAGCAGGCAGCCTTGCATAATTAAGTGAAAATAAAGTTCTTGTGAATAAAAAGTGATCTACAGTAGTTTATAGTTTTGTCATTCATGAGGTTGCTAAAAATTTCATAATCTTTATACAGTAAAACTTGTTTAGTACGAAATGGATATTATGAATTCATGGTTATAGCTAAGTTTTCTTGGATTGCCAGCTATATAAATTTTACAAATTCCTTATACAGATATAACGAATTACTGATATAGCGAAGTAATTCCACAGGTACCAGTGACTTCGTTTAACTGATTTTTACTGTATTTGTCTGACAAAATTCTACTTCAAGTAAAGTTTTGGTCTGATTTATTCAAGTGGACTGTATCAGGCTAGGGCACACAGTTCTACTGAATAGAAGAATATAGAAAATTATACAATCTCTTAACTATTTCAAAATACTACTCTGATTTAAAACAATTTTTTTTTCACTAAAAGATGTAGAAACCCTTTTTTATGACGGTGAACTTGTGTTTGGATTGTTACTAAATACAGTTGAACTTGGGTATCTGATATTTCGAATGGATATGTCCAAGTGATCTGGAAGTCCCATACGCTTAATCCTTAAGTATTTTACTCTGGATATCTTGAATCCTCAGATATTTTTAAGTATTTTCTCAGTCCCATGTAGTAAGGTGTCTGTCATCTGTTCATCTATCTGTAAACAACTTTTCAAAAAGCTACTCCTCCAACGGTTTTGGTTGGATTTCACTAAGACTTGGTACACAAATAGGCTATACTAAGATACTTAATTATAACAAACGGTGTTGACATGGAATGCTAAAAATATAAATTTCTTTGAATTTTTTCAACAGTTTGGATCTGATTTCAATAAGACTTGGTACGCAAGTAGACTATATACAAACCAAAGAAATATAATTCTTTTATTTCAACTCTGGGTGTTGCTATGGTTACTGATATAGAAAGAAAGCCTACTCTTCCTACAATTTTGGTTAATACAACTTGGTACATAAGTACTGAAATAGACTTAACTAAGATACATGATTCTTTCTATCAAATTTTGATTTCGACAAGTAGTGTTGCCTTGGTTAAAAATAGAAATTTCTGTGCTTTTCTTTCAAAACTCTACTCCTCTTATAGTTTTTGTTCAATTTCAATAAAACTAGGTATACAAGTAGACTATACTTAGATAAACAATTTTATTCATTGGTTTTTGATTTATGATGAATAGTTTTGCCATGGTTACAAAAAATTGAAATATCTTTGTAGTTTCTCCTCCTTCAGTCTAATTCTGAGTTTGTTAAGTAAAGGAGAAAGGCCGAAAACTGTCCATTCTGTGAGAGAAAGAACTAATCGAGGGCCGTAGGCCCGAGATTAGTTCTTTCTCTCACAGAATGGACAGTTTGAGGCCTTTCTCCTACTTAAAACATGATTTCCTTTGTTTTGAAAATTAAATATAAAATGTACAAAATGACAGGTAGCAGACATACAATGGCAAGTTCATTGTTTACGGAATGGACAGTCACTGGTAAGCTAGGGATGCAGAGCAATTTGTTGAATAGCCATTGTGTTTCCAGATGCAAATAACAAAAGGTTTTTGTCTTAAGAATGGACAGTTACAGGTGGATTTTGTGGGATACTAGTATTTATACAAGTATGCGATGCTTCAAAATCAGTTTACAGTTTGCATTGTAAAGGCATACATGTTTTCCTGTAATGGAGAGAGTATATGACAGAATCAAAATCTTATAAACCAAAATATGCACAGAATTAGTGATATTTGGATCTGGAAACAGAAAAGGAAGAGTAAAAGAAATATTAGTCAAATTTTGACCCAAAAATGAACTTCGACGACAGATATAGATGATCAAATTCAAATCAAACCTCGAAATGTTTTATTTGAATTCTATTTTTGAGGATATTTTAACTGCAGCAGTGTAATGGTGAGATGCAAATTGTGTTCTGAGTGCTGGATTAGCCATGAACCAATCTTCGACCTGAAA